TTTACCCTTTGTTCAGATTCCTGTATGTTATTCTGGTGCTCCTTGGAATTTTGGGCCCCTCTACGTGGCTAGGCCGCAAAAAAAGTCTTACATATTTGATATCCCCATACCTCGGAAGGAGTAGCAGAATTTTTTGGGGGTACAATTCTATGTGTGCCCATGCTGTGTGTTAGGTATATCTTTTTAACTGACAACTTTTTGTAAAAAAAAAATAAAAACATTTTCTGTTAACGTTTACCAAAAAAATGAAACCTAGAAAACACTCAACATGCATATTTTCAAATACCTTGGGGTATCTCCTTTCTATAATGGGGTCATTTTGTGGGGATTTCTACTGTCCTTGCATTTTGCGGCATCAAGAAATGCGATAAGCAGTCAGGGCACCAGGGTTGATACAATTCAAATATATACAGTATACCATAGTCTGTGGACTATATAACTTTCACACATTTTAATTAATTTAAGCTTTTTTTTTTTTTACCACAGAAATGTAGCAGAATAGGGAAAACTGTTTTTTTTTTTTTTTCCCAAAATGTTCGGTAATTTTTCCTTTAATATAGTAAAAAATTAAAACCCCAGTGGTGATTAAATACCACCAAAAGAAAGCTCTATCTGCCCCCAAAAAAATTATATAAAATTCATTTTGGTACAGCGTTGTATGGCTGAATAATTGTCAGTCAAAGTACTGCAGCGCTGAATACTGAACAATATGAAAAATGTCAGTGTTCAGCGCTGCGGTACTTTGACTGACATTTATTCCATCATGCAACGCTGTACTGAAATGAATTTTAAACCATTTTTTGGGGGCAGATAGAGCTTTCTTTTGGTGGTATTTAATCACCACTGTGGGTTTTATTTTTTACTATATAAGGGAAAAAATTGGGAAATTATTGACATTTTTGGGAAAAAAAGTTTTAATTTTTATTATGTTAGGAAACAATGATTATTACCCATATTTTTGGTAAAATATAAAAGACGGGGTCACGTTGGGTAAATAGACACCAAACATGTCATGCTTTTTTTCCTATTTTTTTCCACTTAACTTTATTGCTATTACATAGGGGGCTGAGAAAATACCCTTATGTGATAGCAAAATATGCGACAGGTCCTCTTTATGGAGACATCAGGGTTCTCCAAGACCCCTAATGTCACATAGGACCCCCCTAAAGAAGCTGATGAAGCACAGATCTGCTTCATCAGCTTCTCTCCAGCATCTGAAGCTGGAGAGTGACACGAGAATGCGTAAGTGATGTAATATACATCAGTTCCGCATTCCGACAGCGGAGAGGGGTACCGACCCCCCTCTGATCCCCTGTGACAGAGGCAGTATGCTGGTCCTGGGCTCGCACCGGGCACAGCGGAGCCCGGGACCAGCTTGACAGCGGGAGGGGGGTAGCCGGGGAGGGGCACACATCACAGGACCTCATACAAGCGATCCACCGCCTCTATAGCCGGCGGATCGCTTGTATATTAACGGGCATCGCTGCCTGTTTTCAAGTAACGGGCATTTCCCGCTCGCGAGGGGGCGTGGCTGAGCGGACGTCTGAAGAAGTGGTTAACACCCCGGACTTCTAGTGGTTAAAAAAGAAAAGAGAGACCACAGTGTTCTGGACCACTTTACTCTAGAAAGTGTCACAGCTGAGACCCCAAAGGAATTTTTGCCATCCAGGAGGTGAAAAGGAAATGGAGAAGTAATGATTTGTTTCAATTTCCTAAATAAAGAGAAGGGGAATAAATGTTCGAATTGGGAATCAGGACTGGATTTACTCTCCCTGCTGCTCCAAGGCCAGTTTCTGCAATGCGCTCCCCTCCCCGCTAACCCAACCCTGGAGACTTTTTTTATATATTTTTTTATTTATTTTTTACTTTTTACATTTTTATTTATCTTGTCATCTTTTACTTTTATGAAGACAGCGGCGGCCAGCGAGGAGAGGACAGAGCCGGGAGGATGCAGCCAGCATAGAGGGAGAGAGGTAGGTGCAGGGGAGGGAGGGGGCGGCGGGGGAGGACGGACAGACTGCAGTCTGTTTACAAGTGATCTTGGCGACCTCGCAGAAGGCAAACAACAAATGTCAAACTAAAATAGAGTCTATAAAAATAAAGTGTCAGGATGTCATGCCGATCCCTTTATTTCAAGTAAGTGCATCTAGAAAAGTAAAAATAGAAAACAGAACACAAAACCCGGACTACTTGTAAAATGAATGAATTACTATATGTCCGAATACACGAAAAATATAGTCAGGTGCATAATAATTTGTTTGAGAATGTGCGGCGGCCATGTTGGCCAACGCCGTGTTCTGTGAATGCGTGCTACCATCTTGGAGGCAGGGAGCATGACTTTACATGACGCCATCCATGCGTGGCGTCAGGTAACGTCACACGCCTATAATGGGCCCACCATCTTGGTGTATACCTTGATATACATCAAGATGGCGGCGCCCAACACGTGCGGTGTTATATGACGTCATGCGCCCTGCCTCCAGAACACGCCAATGGCTGAATCTAAAATAGCATAAAAAAGTGTTTTGTTTGATGAAACAAATGAAAACTTTTTTTTAGTTTTCGTTCATTTCATCTGAAATTAATTTTTAGTCTTCGCACATGTCTAATAATACGTGTGTGTGTGTGTGAGGGGGGGCAGTTTTCACTTTTGAAAAATAATTTTTTAAATTTTTTTTTTTTTCATAATTCTTTATTTTTTTATTATTTATTTATTACTGTTGGGGGGCTTTGGGAAATATTAGGGGTCCAAACAGACCCCTGACATTTCCCTTTTAAAATAGAAAAAGAATTTGAGGACACCAAATCCTCAATTTATTTTTCAGCAGCCTCAGCACTCAATGAATGGGAAGCACTCAGTACAGAGGCTTCCCATTCAAATATTTACTATCAGCTGTTTCTGAATGTAGAGGAGCCTCTGTAGTGAGTGCTTCTCCCCATTGTTGAACTCTTGAATGAACAGTCTGTGATTTAAATCACAGCCTGTTTATTCATAACTGGGGACATTAGTGATCCCCCGCTCTGCCACGCACAGAGCCGCTGTCATCCTGAAACTGACAGGATGACAGCGGCTCCGATCTCCTCACCATGACTATATGACTGGCCTGATAACTTCTAGAAAATGTGAGTAGCAAAAAAAAAAAGAGGATAAACACACATACGCAATGCATGGGTGGTGTTGGCTCCAAGGGCAGAGTGAGAGCAACTGGGGGGCTGAGCCTGGGCTTTAAGTTAGTTAGCTAGAAGTTAAGTAATGAAGGTCTCTCATAACTAGTTTACTTTAGAATGCTGATGTCTTTGCTAGCAGAGGACAGGGTATACACAACTGTGTTTATCTGATACAAATAAATAAATTTGTTTATTTTTATTTTCAGTACTAAACAACATAATAAGGACAATACATGATAAACTATTGATAACTGTTTCTATAGTCTAATGTAATATAACTTCTATTTTTCTAGAGACCTCAAGGGTCAGGATCTTGACAGAAGATGGGAAAAATAAACGGTAAGGATGATCTTCCCATTTTTAATAATAGTCATTACAAATATATTCTTCTGGTACAGTCCTGAAATGGCCAGAAGATATATAGCATCTTGCCCATCTGCCAGCACAGAAGAATCCCATAATGCAATAAATATGGAAAATAGGACGCCATCAATCAATGTCCATGCCTATCTGCCCTCTGGTATGTGGACTATGGAACCATCAGGGCGCCTCGGAAACCTCATAGAACAATATGCAACACTATATGCATTTGCAAAACTGCATGGACATCAAGCCTACATTTTACTCGCAATGCACTCAGCACTGTCAGAGATGTTTAGGATAAAGCTACCAGTTATTCATAGGAATGTTGCAGACCAAATACCATGAAAGACCTATGGAATAAGTCATAACTGGATGTCCTAAGAATATTATAGCATGTCTGGAGACTTTGTTAAACTTTCTGTTTATCCATTGTCATGGACCTTCTATCATCATCTCAGAGAAGAGATCCTTCAGGGATTTACTTTCCATGACTTCATCAGAGACAAATGTAATGCTTATCTTTCGTGGGGAACAAAACAAACATCACAGGGGCGTGGTTTGGCCGCAGACTAATATGGCCGCTTGAACCGGAGCTGAGCATCGGGATCCGTTACTATAGCAACTCCCTGCTAGCTGAGACACCAGTCGGTACTATATTAACACTCACCGGAGTGCCGATATCCCTGCCAACATGTCCAAAGGAAAAACAAAGTCCAAGGGTCCCAGGAGACTTACAGATTTCTATCCGAGGACACCCGCCTCAGGTAAACAAAATGGAGCCTCGTCAGCAGGGGTAAGAGTTCAACCTCATTACCGCTCCACTGACAGCGATGAGTCAGCGATGGAGGAGAACACAGCTGATCAGCTGTCACCTCAGAAGGAGTTTTCAAAACGGCCGGCATCCTCTCCACTGCAATCGCCACAATCTAAGGGCCCTGTAAATAAAAAGCAGTCAACTGCTGCCACCTCAGTGTCACAAGGCCCCTCTGATGCAGCACATTCCTTGGAAGCTTTCCCTGCTTCCTCAGACCCTAACATCGCAAAATATTATAAGGCCACAATTTTAGACCAGACTCGACATTGGGGGTCCCCCCAATCTGATAAAATATGGAATCGGCAATAATCTCTTCTGACCTAAATCTGCTGCTGCACACTACCCTTCTAAACTACACTCCACCTAAATATTACATACATACAGTTACAGCTACTATGAGAGTGTGGACATCTTTAAGCCTCACCCCTTCCACAAGCATTGGGAAATGTTTAAGTGATATACCATTGGATACTCTGGATTATGTTCTTAGTGACCTGGGCATTTCCAAATGGAAGGCATGTGGTATCACGCCCCTGGGTCAATTATTCTCTGGCGAGGTGTTGAAATCATTTCACACTCTCTGCCAACAATTTAATGTTCCTGTCAGAGACTTCTACAAATGTTCTGCCTGTGAGATTGAGAAGATAAATTGGCGATGGCGACCGCTCAGATACAGCGAAGTACTGCGAGCGCAGTGACGCTGCCCAATCGCATCGCCACAGAGCAGCAGTCGTTGGTTCTCATGAAGAGGCTGCTGGCTGTTTCTGTTTCTTGTATTACTTACCTGAGGGACTTGTTCCCAGAATATGCATACGGAACAAGATATCTAGAAGTTAATCTTTTGCTCCCAGACATATGCGTGAAAATTCTGCGGGAAGATAAAAACTGCCCCGGCTCGACTCAGCTAGTGAAATGGATGTTGGGATGTTACGATGCATTGGAGAAGAAATACCTCAGAATGGTGGTATTGGCAATCTATACCAACATTGATGATCCTCAGACTATTACAGAATGTTACCAGTTTAAGTTTAAATATACTCCCGGTGGGGCCATTATGGACTTCTCAAGCGGCATAGGCAATTCTGTATCTGCCTGCTCGGATGTGAAGAAAGCCAGTGTCCTGCTCATACGTAAACTTTATATCCTCATGCAAGATCTGGGACCTCTACCAAATGATGTCTGTTTAACCATGAAGCTGTTGTATTATGATGAAGTTACTCCAGTGGGCTACCAGCCTCCGGGCTTCAAAGAAGGCAGCTGTGAAAACATGATGTTCGAGGGGGAACCCATGTACCTCAATGTTGGTGTGGTGGCCACCCCTTTTCATTCCCTGAAAGTCAGGGTAACTACAGAAAAAGAAAGAATGGAACATGTGGAAGAAAACGTATTGAAGGAGTCAGATAGTAAAACGCCTACACGTGCTTTAAAGCTGGATATTGATGAAGCAAAGTTCCCTGACCGTTCTCTCAGTGATGAGCCGCTGCGTGATCATCAAGCTGATGTACAGAAGAAGGAAGCTTCATCTTTGCATTTGGAAGATCTCAGTCTCAGTTCTCAAGAGGATGGAATGATGGAAACTCAGCATGATATTAATCAGCCACCACAGCCTGCCAATACTAGATCAATTACCACCGAGCGCAGAACCAGGAGCGGACGGATCATTTCAGAAAAGAAGCCACTTCCAGCAGAGAAATCCCAGGCCAACAATTCCAGAGCAGGAAACAAAAGACAAGCCAGCAAGGAGAGTCAACCTTTGGATATCTTTAGCAGCCAAAAGAAACCTCCTGGAACAAAGAAAAGGAAGCTCAGTGAACCAAAAGACCCCATTTAAATCACTTTACCCTTTCATTGTAGTTCTAAAACAGTTTCTCCACATCAGCCCTCAAATATGTTTGAGTTTCCCTTCTTATTTTAAATTATATTAAGTTTAGGTGCAGAGATTGGGAATTGGATGGTATCATTAAAATGCATTTATCCTTCAAGCTCCTGATATGGAAATCTGCACTTTCAAAGTATCGAGCCACCTATTCACCCTTGTTTGTAGCTCCATGAATTCTGAGATTAGGCCCAGGATTTGCTGTCACTGCTTTGAATGTCTGCTGAAATGTTGCTAACAATAGTCAGCACAGAAGGGCAGCAAGCAGGGAACACTCAGGTTTCATGAGTCGGCACTTAAAAGACACAGATATCTGGAACATGGAGGTAAGAGCATACAACTTTATGACAACTTCCTGTTCTCATTTTAAAGACCTGTGTTTCTTGATTTTTTTTCTTTTAAAGTGTACCTGTATCATAGCAGTAAACATAATACTATAAAGAAGGGGTTTACTGCAGCATCTGGGTACATCATTGTGACAGCTCTCTCACAGTCTAACCGTCTAGAGCTGCTATAGTAGCATACATATAGAGTGGAGTGAGGGCTAAAGGTAGGGACTTAAAGCAACACTTTTATTATGCAAAGTCAAAGAGAACCACCCTGTAAAAGAAGATTACTCATGCTTACCTTTCCGGCGTGTGGTGAGTGAGATATTCATTTTCTTGCAAAGCTACAGCCATCACTGGAATCCGACACTTCAGCTATGGTGGATACCTGGTGCCCCGCTGTGTCCTGTGGCTCCTTCTGCCATCTCATTTGTTGGTACTGTGTCATGTGGTAATGTAGGGGTTGGCAGAGGATCCACGGTGTACAGAGGAGGACCATGTATACAACATACCTGAAAGTGTTCGCTCTCTTTCAGAGCTAAAGCTAGCACTGGAATCTGACACTTCAGCTATGGTGGATACCTGGTACCCCGCTGTGTCCTGTGGTTCCTTATACATATATAAAGTGTAGCGCTCAAACAATATACACCTATAGCTAGTTTATATAAATGCTGCCAAATCGCATCTAACGCTAGGGTCAAAATATGAACAGTGCACAAAACGTGTTTGAAAATATGAGAACAAAGTCTATATGTAAATGTTGTAAATGTAAACGTGAGTCCAGTAAATGAATTCAAGTTTGTGGCGGTTGCCCCGGTATGTCTTATGGTTCCTCCTGCCACCTCCAATGTTACCATTGTGTCCTGTGGTAATATAGGGTTTGGAAGACTATCTACAGAGTACAAAGAAGGGCCACATATATGACACAAATTGTCGGATTCTTCTTCAAAAGAGTGATTCTGTTTTAATTAAAGTTCTCTAATAACAAGGTCCTTTTAAAGTGCACCTGTTCTTTATTCTTACCTACCTACGGTCTGTTCTCCCACAGGAGTGAGTAAAGTAAGCCTAAAGCAAATCCTAGATGAAGACTCTTCCCCTGCCCCATGTCACAGTGTCAGTGTATGAGTGGCCAGTTACCAAGCACCCCTAATGTCTTGTAGGATGAAGGGAAGTTCCCTGAGTCTCAGAAGTACAGGTTGTTTCTCTTCGTTTCCACATGTGAGTAGACAGGAAGTAAGACAAAAGCAGCTACAGGAGGTGGCTCTGGAGCAGGGGTGCCCATTAGGTCGACCGCGATCTACCAGACGATCGCAAAGCGAGCACTGGTGGATCGCGATCGGCTCACTTACCTGAGCTCCCTCAAGTGGTGCTTGTGCGACTAAATGTGTTAGACGCTGCGGACAGGAAGGGGTGGGACACCTCTCCCAGTCTGCACATTCGGCCACACGAGCACCACAGGAGGACAAGACACCGCACCTGAGAGGGGACCCGGAACGCTGCTGCAGTGCAGGTAAGGAAAGACCGCCAGGAGAGAGAAGAGACAGCAGATAGAGAGAGAAGAGACAGCAGATAGAAAAAGGGGATAGAGCGAGGAGAGATAAGACAGCCAAGAGAGAGGGCCGGTTCGCGCCACGGGGTCATGCTCTGGCGCGCATGCCGGCGGGCTCCCTGCATCCTCCTACTAATGTGCCTGCAATCGCACTGCAGCCATTGACTTTGATGCACCGCCGCGCCCCTGGGTGCGGGGAGCCGGCCGGCTTGCGTTCCGGGGGCCGGATGCTCTGGTGGGCGGAGCTTGTGGTGTGGGCCGGCCCAGAGAGACAGCAGATGGAGGAGAGAGAGGGGTAGTAGTCCCGGTAACGATTTTATTGTGCTTGTTTTCTAAATAAAGGTGTTTTTTTCGTTGGTAGATCACACTGAGCTCATCATTTGAAAAGTAGATCTCCAGACGAAAAATTGTGGGCGCCTCTGCTCTAGAGTGAACCTGTTGCTTCGCCAGCATGGGAGCACTTTAATGTCAATTTTCTTAAATACACTAAAAGTTTGATAATAGAAAAAGTCAAGATCATTATTTATATTTTGTACTCTTCTTGGTTGCATTGTATTGCTTAGATATATAGTAACAGGACAGTTTTAATGAAATTGTTTATTTTATTAAGAAAACTTATTCTGTACGCACCAATATCCTGTCCTTGTATAGCCTTTAAGCAGTGGAGATGGACAGATATGTTCAAGGTTGGTCTTATTTCCACACATAGTATGTTGAAACCTTAGACTTAACACATGTTTAAAGCTAAACTCTGCCCAAAATATCATTTAGACACTGCACTGGATGTGTATATTATCATTAAAAAGAGTGTTGTGTGTGGGTGGCTGCTTCAGATTGTGAAGGTCTTACCTTGCAGCAGGCTGTTTCCTACGCATGATGCTGAGCATTTGGGCGCTGCAGGAAGTGATTGATGCGACTTTGGCAGAAAAGTGCTCCAGTCACATCCCCGCTCCTACTGGCTACTTGCCCATTCACAAAGTGACTTGTATTTTTCTCAAAGAATACAAGGTATCCTGAGGAGGAGAGAAGGGGTGAGGATATGGCATCATCTCTCCTCCAATCACAGAGCAAGTCTCATCCCTCACTCCCATCAGTGCCCGGAAGACCAGCATTGTGTGTGGGAGATGTCGTGCTGCGGGGTGTGATTTTTATGCTTTGCAGCCGCCCTCCATACATGACACTCAGCTTTTGGTAATCATTTACCCAGTTAGTGTGGTGTGTAAATGATCACTTTATCTGGTGTTTGGCTGTAAAACCCGAATCTTTTGTGTTTTAGAGTTACAATAAATAAGTTAATTGCAACACTACAACATTTTTGTGTAATGTATTCACAATAAGTTATTTATTTAAAAATAAAACAATATATTCTTCATGGAAAAAAAAAAAAAAAGAGACTTCTACAAATATCTTAGAATTAGACATTTCCTGTCTAAGACAAAACTCAATGATTCTACACACCTGAGAAGTGCAATAGCCTTCTTTTCTAAAACATCTTCAAACAAGAAAGGTATTTCCTTTTTCTACAAAATGTTAACTACTCCCACGACTGAGGTTAAACTTTCCTCGATAACTTGGTGGGAAAAGGGATTGGGATTCTCAGTATCTCTTGAGCAGTGGTATCGCACAATGGCCTGGCCCCTAAAGGCCTCTAGATGTCTATCTCATTGGGAATCCACCCAGAAGCTGCTGCACAATTGGTATTATACTCCACATAAGTTGGCCAAGTTTTTTCCTACCTCATCCCCACTACGTTGGCGTAATTGTGGTGGGATAGGATCGCTTCATCATATTTGGTGGCACTGCCCTACACTTGCTCCATTCTGGGAATCCGTCTTTAAATTCATTAGTGACATCACTCATCTGCAATGCCCTCCTTCCCCGCAGATGGCCCTCCTAGGGATTGGTATATTGGACTGGCCCCCCTCCTTACGAGTACTCGTGACACACATACTCATAGCAGCTAGATTAGTTATAGCTAGATGTTGGCGTAATTGTGGTGGGACAGGATCGCTTCACCATATTTGGTGGCACTGCCCTACACTTGCTCCATTCTGGGAATCCGTCTTTAAATTCATTAGTGACATCACTCATCTGCAATGCCCTCCT